CTTGTCTACAAAAATGCATACAAGATATTTTAGTCGATTAAAAGATAAAACCATTTAATTTTGACCATTGTAATTGTCTTTCATTTTTGCACATGTGAGAAGCTTTACAAGAGCGAAGATCCTCTAAAAAGAGTCTGCAATCTACTGTAGGTGGAAGTGTACATAAAATTTCATTAATTTTTATGAGAAATAGTGTTGTACTGATAATACTGCCTTGAAGTAGAGTTAAAATTAGAATGCAACAGTCAGGTGTCAATGGCACCTAAATAATTTTTCGTAATTGCAAAAAAATAAATAAATGAAAGGTTTAGCTAGGCGTAATTTTAAAATTATATTTTTACTCACAATATTTTCCCTTTTTTATAACTTTCAGTAAAAAACATTTTTGGGCGATATATAACTAAAAAGGACACTATTTTTAAATCATATAAATACGAAAATCGATGATTGATATTAAAATCGAGATATTAGCAGATTAGAGCACAGTTCCAAAAATTCAAAATGGCGAAAATCCGCCAAACCAAATTGGTAAGAGAATCATATAAGCGTTAACAACTCGTTAAAGGGTTTTAGCAAAAGTTTCAAAATTTCGCCAGATTATAAGTTTTTGATTTGACGAAGTTCGCGAACCAAAAACCACCCTGATTTCAAAGAAATCACGTGGAAAAGCACTAGAATACCAGAAAAAGATAAGCGCAAGCAGTTATTGAAGCATAATAAACAAGATACAATATTTAAGATGTATAGCATGGTTTTAACTAAAAATAGTAGTAGTTTATTTACGTCACACTGAAGCTGCACAATGGGCTATCGACGACGGTCTGGGAAAATTCCCTGAGGATGATCCGAAGACCTGCCATCACAATTTCGATCTTCTGCACAGGGGATGACACCCCCGCTTCGGTAGCCCCCAGACCAGAAGGCAAAACTTCTAGGGAAATATACGTCTAGATTTTTTTTTTATGGGGAAATTCTAATAAATAATCATAATAATAATTTCAGAAAACTAGCAAACAGTAGCGAGACCAGTGTTAACCAGAATGTACACTTTGAGGAATAAATGTCTAGATTTTTCCTGAGTGAATTCTAATAAATATTCATACTTTCAGTAAATGAAAATGACAGATAGCAAACAGTTGATGACATAATCCAGTGTCCACGATCGTTAAAAATTTTAAAAAAAAGTTACTTGGAAAATAGTGATTGGTACTAGAGGTAGTTGTCAAGTAGTATTCAATAAAATAAAATAAAAAGATTTTTATGAAGAAAAAAAAACATTTAAAATTGCTTACGATATTTACCATCACCGTTCACAGAAGTCAACTTTTCGTAATACTTTATGAAAATATGTCATATCTAAGACATATACTTTCATTTAAAAAGATTGGTCAGAATGAAAGCACTCACAAGCAAACTCTGCAAATTTATAGGAAGCTTCAAAGAAAAATAAGATCACTAGGGCACCTCGGGATCGTGAAACCCGTGTTTACCAGAAGGCAAAACCCCTTGAGGAACAAATGTTTAGATTTCTTCACATCAGAGAATTTTAATAAATATTTATAATTTTTTTTAAAAATGGAAGGGGGCAATCAGTTGATGGCATAATCAAGTATTACGATATATATATATATTTTTAAATAGTTGGATGGAAATAGTGATTGGTACTGAGACAATCTGTCAAATATTGAGTATTGATTTTGCTAGACATCATAATACCTCCTAGTTGATTCTATGTGACAAGGGAAGAAAATAATTCACCAAGGAATTTGTGGTTAGGGAAATTTGAAGAGCAGCAACTCCCTGATGTTATTAGTTGGCAAATCAGTCAAGTTATATTATACTTAAATTCATATGAACTATGATTTTATTAATAAGAACTGGGAACGAAACCAAATCTTTCAAGAAAAAAATAAGCACCTTTTATGAATTTTTTAAGCACTAAAAATATTTTTAAGTACTATATACATTAACAAAATGCAAAATAATTTTCAATGACTTTAAGTGATCATGACAAAATAACTAGTTTCTGACAAAGAACTCTTTTCGTGATTATATTAGCCACCATGAAAAGATCGAGAGATTTTTCAGTTTGATTTCAGAAGGTGTAAAATTAAGCCTGGAATTGAGAATATCTGGCATAATGCAGCAGAGTTGCACATAGGAGTGCAAGAATCTCACCGAACCCAGCTCACACGCGGACCCACAAGCATTTCATGAAACATGCAAAATGATTGGTGCTTTCATACGCTACCGACCGACTGTAAGTCGAAATGAATTGTTTGAATGAATTGTAAAAACGCTGAATAGAACAAAGTGAAAACCACGTTATTGCATAATATGTGCCAAAAATTGACAAGGTAATAAAAAAATCACATTTTAGAAAAGGGAAAATAAGCACCTTTTAAAAACACTCAATAAAAAAAGCACCTTAAAGGCTTTTTTAAAAAACAAAAATAAGTACCTTTAAGCATTTTTTAAAAAAGCTGCGCACCACGAAAAAATATGCAAAGTAATGTATGATTAAATCAGTGCTGTGGTAGTGGCACTCTCAAAATCTTTTTCCACTGGAAGGAAAAGTGATACCTATTGAACTAAAGTCAGCAAATTATTAATACTTAAGGTTTTTCAAAAAACCTTAAATTCAGAAGTTTTTTATAAATTAAAAAAATATGCTCAGAAGCCTACCTAAAGAAAAACCCTTTGAGACAATGAAAATAGGGTTCATAGAAAAAAAGAAGAAAATTGCTGATATATAGGGTTGTAACACAAAAGTAAAAAACCCTAAACATTTTATGAGCAAAAAAACGATATTAAGATATTAATTTACATATCATAAATGTTTCATATTTCACTTAAATTTTGAACTAACATTTATAATTAAATTACCTGCTGATGAAGAATATCACACCTGTAAGTGACTATTTCTAGAAAAAAAAACTTCTTATAAGAATCGCGATATTGGATTTTAAAATCGCTTGAATATGAATCACGATATTGAAAACGCCAAAATAGAAATTACGATATTGAATTTTTAGATCGCGTGAATATGAATAGCAATGCATAGTCTTTAAATTAGTGAAAATACGAAAATCGATGTTTGATATTACAACCGTGGGAATACGAATGGCAAAATTAGACTCTAATCTAGAGTGAATACGAAGCATGAAATTGCATTTTAAAAAAGCGTGAATACAAATCGCAATATTGGACTTTTAAATCTCGTTCATAGAAATCGTGATCTACGATTTTGAAATAGCGATAATACGAATCGCAACAGGTAACTTTTAAATCAGGATAAAGTGAAATTCGATGTTTTATTAAAATCGTGACAAAAGCAGATTCGGGGCAGTTCCAAACATTCAAATGGGCGAATATCTTCCAAACCAAAAGAATGAAATTTGTGAAAGAATCACGCGTATGTACAAATCTCGTTAATGAGTTTTAGCAAAAGTTTCAACATTTCATCGGATTAAATGTTCTTGATTCGAGGAATTCCCCGACCCAATGGTCTTGAAATACGAAGAATTCTGCAAAATTCGCCAAAAGATCACATGCCCTGCTTCTAGTTTTCAGACCTGGACGAACGATACGAAAAACCCGGAATACAATCATTGCTGATGGGGACTTTTCTTAATAAATAAAAAATTTTTAACATACATAAAGTTTTTTGTCTATCACATTGCTAGTTCTCTTCTGTTTCCTAGCAATGGTTTTTTCTCTCATAGTTTTAGGAATTAAATATCTGTTATATAATTTAAAGCAAATGTAAGAAATTGTTCGGAAAGCAACTGAAAAATTTTAGCCAAATTCTGTAAAAGAAAAGCTTGCATTAAAAATAAGGCACGTTATTGTGATAACTCATTTAATCTCATTGTGTTACCACATACTTTGTTTTATTTTATTAAAACAGTTTTTTATTCACATAATTTTCAGATTTAGGTACATATACAGCCTAACTTTGATTTTCTCTAATTATTCTAATGTAAAAATAAATTTATTCTTCAATAATAAAATTGATTAGTATAACTGACTAGATAAGATTTCTGAAGACCTGAAAAACTTAATGATGATTCTGAACATATTTCTGAATATAGCTCGTTCACCAGGAGTTGGCACTTGGCTCCGCCTACATCACGTGGTATGCGACGATTCTATTTCGCTATTTTTGGGAGAAGGTTGTGAGCAATCCTGAACAATGTTGCTATTTGGCGATCGTTTGGCAAAAATATTTATTTCGCAAACTTTATGTGCATTTTTAACAATAAATATTTCATAAATTTGATGGTAGTTTGCCCCTTTTTTATGATATTTCTTTCTTTTGAGTGAATAGTTCGTCCTTTATGAGACATTTGCTGGGAGAGCAGCAGTTTTTAAATTTAAACTATATTTAATTAGCTAGAGTAACAAAAGGTATAATAGCAGATGATAAAGCGAAGTATGTGACTGAAAAAGAATTCACTGTTTGTGTTTGGCGCAAATTAAGGGTTGTCTCAATTTCAAGCACGGAGATGTTTCTCTTCTGACTCCCGCGCTGAAATGAACTCTGCGTCCGATGAGGTGGAGCCAAGTGTCAACTCCTGGTGAACGAACTATAGTCATTCGCACTCAAAGATTCTGAGGGAAGACTATTTTGATACTTTTAAAAGCTACAATTTAAATGAAAAATTTACAGCTTTTTCGTAAGAAAATCCAATTATATCAAACATATTGTATAAATGCATAGTTAATTTTTCCTAAACTGAATGCAAGATGAGTTCATTAACATTAATTTAGTAAATTGAATAGAGGAAAAATGTATCAACTTTCTTAATCAAGCTGATTGCACTGATGTATTTTCACAATTGTTTTAAGTTACAAATAATATTTTGAGCTTACTTTTTCTCTATAAGAAATCTGATTGAATCATGATAATGTATACAAATATTTAAAACTCTAAAAATAGAAACCATTTAAAAAAAAGAATTTTTAATGCAGAAATTAAAACTAAATAAGAGAAAAACTGACAATAAATAAACTATTTATTTTATAAAAATTCATATTATATAATCTCATATTAATCACTAGCACAAAATGAAATGGCATATCAATGTTTATAGTAAATTTAAAACGCAAAATATCATAAAAATTGTTTCATATTAAGTAACATGCAAAATGGAATGCAGAAATTATGAATCACCATTAAACAATGGAGAAAAAATCATGAATAGGAACTAATTAGGACACGATAAAATTAATTTTAATAAAGAAAGCAACTTCCTTGTGTTAACTTTATTAAAAGAGCATTTACTTTCCCCCGGTATCAGAGGTGAAAAATATGAATACAAAGAAGTAGCATTCAAGTAGAGCTTAAAATAATATAGTTAATAAAATAATAGATATTTTTAAAGTTATTGCTATTTAGAAAATACAAATTCATTAAATTTATGGAAACGCAGGGTGGCCATAAGCACTCAGGAAGAAATTCCAAGACTTTTTTCTAATTTTATCGAATTTCCCTGATTTTTGCAAACAGTGGCATAAATGTAAAATGGCGAAGTGGTATAAACAGTGGCATCGATATAATATAAACTACAAAACAGTTTTTCTTCTCTTAGAGTTTAAACTAGCTATTTAAAAATTCATAAACAAACAAATAAAAATTATTGCAAATATAACTTATTTGGGAAAAATATCAGGTACCTTACAATGTAAATTTATACATTAACCCTGGAATTTTAGTTAAATTCATTCATTTTTCTAAGTTGATAAAATTCTTAGACTTATATCAGTAGCTCTCATTACCCTGTTTTGAAGCCAACCTGAAAATAGTGCATTTTCATTGACTAAAAAATTTTAAAAACATATACATACATTTTAAAAGGATCTATAATTAATTTTTAAAAAAATTATGTAAAGAGAAGAAAATTTTCTCTTTAAGCTCTGGTTTGACTAGCATTTGTGATAGAAAACAAAGTTAACAAAAAAGTGTGCAATGAATATCTAAATGACATAGAATAACAAACATTATCAAGTTTAAATATCATATAACATTAAATTCAAAAAAATGTAACCAAAAACAAGTAAGTACTAGTCCCCATTATTACAATCAAAAGAAAAACAACTAAACAAAATCAAAAGAGCATATTAGAGAACCATAATGTTGTACATAGTCACAATTTTTAAATAAAATATAAAAAAAATTAACTCTATGGTATATAGCAAGTTAACATGCTACAATTTTAAAATCGTATCCATGCATTTTAAAAGATTTTTAAGATTACAAAAATATTTTTTTCCATATAGTCCGAAATTAAAATTTTCTTAGTAAGAGATAAAAAAAGACCAACATGACTGAAAGAAGGGAACACGGATATTAAAAATGTATAAATAACATAAAATGGCAAACATCATATAATCAAAAATATTTCAAAGACCGTAGTTATAACAAAAAATATATTTAAATTGAGGTAATTACTATCCACTAACAACTGACTAACTATTAGTAACATTTTCAATAACAACAGCTCCACCTGATGGTTTTGTTAAAAATATGTCGCTATCAGAAAGCCCATTGGCCATTCCATATTCCTTTAAATGCTGTAGTAATTCTTGAGCATGCTCCTTAGTTACAGCTGCAATCATTGCACCACCCCATCTAAAAAATTTGTATTTAAAAAAAGTTACTACTTGGAGACACATTTGTCATACAATAACCTCAGAACCTCATAACGAACTGCAGAATATATTTCTAACAGTGGTGAAACTATATGATAACTGGACTATTCTATATGATAAAGGCATCGGGTTATACAGGCTATACTCACTACAAATTTAACCCTTATGCATTGAATATAATATAATGTTTTAAAATATAATATAATAAATATAGTTTAATGTTTTGCCACTATAGAATAATTCACATTAATACTGTTTATAATATCAATAAAAGAGACAACAAATAAGAAATACTATTGATAAGTAATAGTTATTATGAAGAATTTAAATTGAAAGAAGAGAAATTTTTTTGTAAAATCATAACATGAAAAATTATTAAAGATGCGAACAGGTGAAAATAAGAAAACGAAGTTCAACTATTGGCATGAGTTAGTTCCAGACTTTTTTTTGTAATCCTTTCTGCTTCCTTCATTAACCCAGTCCTTGCAGTTTTACTCATTAAAAAAGCAATAAAAATATACAACTTCAGAAAATTTTGTTACAGTTATTTATTTTTGGTTTTGTCACTTCACTCATAAACATTTGATAATTAACTTTACAGATTTACTTGAACTTAATTTTTCTCTCACAAAAGACTCATAACATATGATAAATGAATACTGATTTTTATTATTATTGTTTTATGCATTGTATACCTTGGCACAGCAATGAGAAAAATTTTACTTTTTTGTGGTTTAAAACTTCATAAAATACATTTTTTGCTCAGGTTTTGTTATTTTTAGAAATAAGTACTACTCAACCATATATTTTTTCATTTTCATACTTTTAATAATGGAGGGCTATGCTAGGGATAGTAATCGGATTGGGTTATTTGGAAAGTAATTTCTTTTTTTCATAATCAAAGACTTAACTTCATTTTTTCAGTCAACTGCACACTTAAGCCACATAATCATTATATATTTTGACCACTGATATAGCAATAATTTCTATATCAGCAATTTTTTTCCTGATATAACAAAAATTGCTATATCAGTAAAAAATTGTTTGATTTTATGTAGAAGTTTTTTGTTAGAACCTTTACAAATATAGAAAGTGAAAAGCAGTATTTTCAGCATATTTTAGTTCTTTACTATCAAAAAAGTAAAGATGCAGATCAAGCAAATATATATATATATTNTATATATATATATGCAATGTGCACGGAGTTGTATTTAAGGTGAGCCAGAGACCAGTTGATGCTGATGGAGACACAATAAAGGCGTTAATTCATATAAATTGGCCAACTCGTGAGATCGCTGAGGGATAAAATTTGTTAAATTCGACCCTTTGAAACAGATAGGTTTAATCTCGAAGCTCCATATATGGGTTTGTTTCATTTTTGAAATACATCATGTCTGGGGACAAGAAACGGGTAGTCCACAATATTTGTTCCAGGCTTTACAAAATGTCTTACACGGAGAAACCTTTATTGCAAATACCTTAAATTCAAAATTGCTACAGCCTAAAAGATGGCAGAAAGTATTGAAGCAGAATGGTCAATATACAATTCAATAAGATAACTATTCACTAAAAGAAAATAGACTTTCACTTTCTTTAAAAAAATAATAATAATAATATTTTTTTTAACAACCCAATAGTTTAGGTTTTCAAGCAATTTATAGAGATTATTGCTTATATGTCAAAAAAAAAAATTATAAAAACTGTTTGAACATGATTTGTCTTAACAAAAAATATACTAAAATTTATGACCCTTTTGTAATTTACTAGTATTTATCTGAATTGCCCCACATATTCAGAAGCCCACATATTAATTTATTTAAGCAATTAATATTTTAGCTTTACATTTGTAATAAACATAGTTAAGTTCACACTTTCATATGATATTTAAGTGCGCTTCTGGGGCAGATGCATTTTAAAACCCTTTTTAAAATCTGTTATCAACTTTTCACAATGTCACTAAAATGAGTTAGGTTCAACTCTAAAACTCATTTTAGGGACATCAATTCTAAGATATCACTCTAAAAAGTTTTAAAATTAAGATAGGTGTTCTTGAATTTCTTTAACTAACTTATAGTTGCTTTTAAAAACATTAAGTTCTATACTTAGCTATCTGTCTTTGAAGAAAAAAAAGCACTTTTACAAAAACCTATAAATTCTAAAAATTTATTTCAAATAACAAATCCCAATACTTTACTTAATTTATGACTTCCATGAAAAATTTTGCAAAGTCTAAGAATATACAAACATTAGAGCCTAGCCTACAACCTAGATACACAATCGAAATACCTATATTTTTGCTTCCTATTAAGCTAATGCTTAGGAACGGAAAGATAGCCTTATTTAGTAAATTTAATGTTAAACAATTTTAAAAGATTAAGGTTCAACATTTGATTAAAAAATATACGTGATAAGCTGCATTAAAAGGCATAACATAAAAATACAGTTTGTCAAGAATTTTTGATATGTGATGTTATTCAGTAAATGTGTGTACATTCTGAATATGTTGGTTTTCTGACAGTAGAATACTAAATAAAAGACTTAATATTAAGACTAAAACATTACTAAAGGAGATTAATTAGTGTAAGTTGACAATACCCATAAAAAATAACAGCAAAAGAAAAATAAGATAAACAGCATTGAAAGCATATAAAAATTTGAAAAAAAAGAAAGGGATCATTTTACAATGTAACTAAAGCATAGCAAACTCCCAAACAAGAATATTTTTATTACAATACAAGAAAATAAATCTCTAAGAAAATAACTATATTTTTAAGACTGTTAAATAAAAAAATCTAGGTAATGAAGTCCAATAAAAAATATATATATAGCAAAAGAAAAAAAAAGAAAATTAGAAGCATTGAAAGCATATACCAAATTTGAAAAAAAAAATGAAGAGATAGATTATTATATTGATATATTATATTGCAAACATAGCACAGAGAGATATATTATATTGCAAACTCTTGAACGCAATGAACTCTTAAATAAGAACATTTGAATTACAATAATAGAAAATAAATATCTCAGAATATATATATTTAACTATATTTCAAAGAACTAGATTTGTAAATAAAAATCTAGCCAATGAGAATCAAAGTGAAGGAATTTAATTATTCTATGCTGACTACTAATTAAATACAACAACAAAATAGTCAAGAAAATATAAAATAAACACAAACAGCATTGAAAGCATTTACTAAATTTGGAAGAAACTTTTTTTATTTTGAGACGAAATTTTCATAGATAACTCCTAAATAAGAAAATATTTAAATTAAATTACAAGAAAAATAACAGACCCTGCACCAGTTAATCGTGCTCCAAGAGCTCCATATTTCACTGCATGGTCAACTAGAATGTCCAACTTTTCATGGGAGCAATCATAATTGTACCGTAGACTCTGATGACTAGAATTCATAGCACCTCCAATCGAAACTAGATCTTCTTTCTCACATGCTTCGATAAACTGCTCAACGTTGCCAGCCTCTGTATAAACATGCCTGGCACGAGGAAGAAGCTTTAAATAAAAGACACAATACACTGGTAAAGTTTTATGCAATATTGACGATTTAGACATGATGTAGATGCTACTATGTTTTTCTTTCACTTTAACTCACTTAAGTTAAAATTTAATTAACCTAGTAGTGCTTAATACCTTTTAAGATAGGGTTTTTTGTTTGCATCAAAATCTGAAAAGAAGTACTATAATATCCCTACCAATAATAAAATAAACAGTTTAAGTTATTTATTGAAAGTGCTTTTTTTTAAAGAAAAAAAAAGATAACCTATTAAGCACAATATCTTCAAGTCAAAGGTATTATTGTAGGCACACACACACACATATATATAGCATAATAAATACAAAAATGAAAAAAAAAAGAAAATTAAGAAGAAAAGAAAAAGTTTTATTTACTGTGCATAAGCTGCAAGTAAATAGAACTCATAAAATAAGTTCAAAATGCAGAGAAAACATGGAAAAAATTACAGAACAATGAAAAAAGGGAAAAAGAAAAATAATGATTGTATTGATATATTTTGCTTTGGCTATATTGATACAATATTAGAAAGCACTCCTTTTTGCAGATATAATCGTGTGAGCTGATGAAAAGATTATATCTTTTATTTTCCAGATTATTATTTTTTTCTTCTTTACAGATTTTAATCATTATTTTTCTTTTTCCCTTTTTTCATTGTTCTGTAATTTTTTCCATGTTTTCTCTACATTTTGAACTTATTTTATGAGNAGATAATTTAAAATAAAAAACATTTCTTTTTTACAGCACCAGACAGTACAGTATTAAACAACACTAATAGTAAAAACTGTTAAGAGAAGCATTAACAGTAACAATTAACTAACTGCATTATACAATAGTAGCAGCATTATTTTGCTACAGTTAAAAGTTTGCCATATTTTCTACAATAAAGTTTAAATTTAAAAATAAGAGAGGATTATTTGTAATAAGTATTTGTTTTTGAACAAGAAAATTTTGATCCTCATTTACATTGAGAATATACTAATTGTGACCTTGTTATAAAAAAAAGAGATCTAAATAAAAGGTAAATATGGTGAAAAATGTTATTTTTTGTCAGCAATTTATTCAAAACGCTTTTACATTTTTCGCTTTGTTTAAATTTTAATTCTTTTTCACTAATTTTCGTAGCATTGTAAAACTGGAAGAAAAAAATTAAATTAAATATGGATCCTCTGCCAACTAAGCAATTTACGAAACAAAAAGAGTGTTTTTGTATAATATAAATTGGCCAACAATTTAGTTTAAATATGTATAAAGTAAAAACATTTTACAATTATGCCACAATATTTAATAATTTGTATTCAATAAAGCTTTAGAGGGGTAATGGGGAAAATTACTAAAAAATCATATCTGACTAAATTAAAGCACCAGACTTAAAAACAAATACATTTTTAATATTCTAAGACTTTTAAACTAATTCTTTATTACTTGTTTCTTCTTAGAAACAAAATATACAACGTGTCCTATAATGACTGTATTTAATTTAGAAAATCTTAGAATCCTAGTAAAAAAAAAGTAAGTACATACATAGAACAAAAAAGAAATAAAAATCTAACAAATCACTACCGAGAAAGACAGAACATAAATCCTTAAAACCATTTGACTAATCCAGACGTAGATCTAGAATATTCAATAAATCTTTTTATAATAAGATGTTCATAAATTTGCAAGAGTGCAAATATTGCAAGATATTAATATTAAGCTCATTTCACAGTTAATAGTCTTATTCAGTTTCACATTATGTACAAATGTATTTTGGAAAGTGAAATTTTTTAACTGTTATTTTATGATGCAATTTTTAATAAAAGACCTTTAACTCTAATCATGCACATCTAAACTAAAATTCAGTTTCAATGGAAAAAAATTTGATATCAGAAAAAAGTAGAAAAATATCCCCTCTTCTAATGGTTTTGTACAATTTCAATATTCTCAGATGAATATTTTCTAAAAAATATTTCTACAACTATTATGTTATAATATGAAATACATATCAAGTAAAACAGCTTTAACCTAATCGTGCTTAGATAAATTAAAACCAATTTAATTTAATTGAAAAAAATAAAATAAATAAAAAGCAGAAATCTGGTAAAAAATGGAAAATTCTTATCCCTACTAATAATTTTGTAAGGTTTATTTTGCTATGTTATGTTACAATTCAATTTTAAATAAAATACCTTCTACTTTAAACATGCATACATGATTTAAATTGAATTATAATGGAAAAATGCAGAAATCTGCTTAGTGGAAAAATCTGATTTCTATTATTGGCTTTGTACAATTTCACTATTCTGTACAAATATATTTTGTAAAGATTGATTATTCCACTGTTAAATTATTATATGAAATACAATTTCAGAAATAAAATACCTTAAACGCTAATTGTGTATAGATAAATTAAAATTAATATTTACTTAGTAATAATATTTTTTAAAGAATTTAATGAAAATTGGAATAGAGTATGAATCGGATTGAGCTCTTAGAAAAGTCTCAAGCTGAAGGTTTCAACTGCTGATTTCAAAGCACTGATATATGCTGTACACTTGTATGGCCAACCATAAAAGTTGTTAAGCATATATCTGAGTCATCAAGTTTCATACAAATTAAGTAAGAGGAAAAGACTGCAATAGTACTACTAAACATGTTTTGGCATTAATATTTCAATTTAAGAGCAGTTAAATGCCAATTCAGTTAGGTTAAAGATTTACTAAGTCACTTCAAAGAAAATAAACACATAAGTACATAAAAAGTTATTAACAGTACAAATGAATGAATTCAATCTACTTCAAAATGTTCAGTCTCCAAATTTGGAAAGTGGAAACGATGCAGAATTTCTTTTAATTGGTCTAAATTTATCATCAGCTCTTCGCAAATGCTTGTTGTACTGTAAGGTGCACTGTTCAAAATTTCATCCAATATACCAAGAATTTCACTAGGGGATTTTTCTGATTGAGCTACCAGCTCACCTAATGTATTCACAGTTTTCCAGTCTAGATCTAAGTGCTTGGCTAAAACCTGTAAAAGAATTATAACATTTATAACAAAAAATAGTGACCAAGCTAAATCCATAATTTGAAAATAAAACAACCTATCATTTAATCCCAGACAGATTCTTGCAAGGATGGATTTTTAAAAAAGTTATGACTCTGTTTATGTAGATTATAATAAATAAAATTTACATAAAACAAACTAAGTGTATAGCTAAATTGAAAGATGAATTAAAATACTCTAATAGACAACAAAAGGTCTTTAAAAGCATATTTTTGTTAACTGTTTTATGACATTTTCACTTGACGGAGACATTTAATTTGAAATGAATAAAGTAGTTCAGGAATCATTTTTATCACTGCGATGTCTAGGTGTAAATATCTTTTGCAAATAGAGCATTAAGGACTGTGAATCTGTCAAGCTCACTGTCAGATTTATTTCAACAATATTAATTTACTTAAACTACAATTTTTTATTACCTCTTGAGTATAAAACCACCCACAGGTGTACTAGAATAGCATGGTTAGTAATACTCATCATATTCAAAATAACATTAAAAACTTTCTTTTAAATTTCTTAAAATGAATAATTAGCTTTACACAAAATATCCTGTCAAGGTTAAAGACCTAGGTGCTTTAGCCATTTTTGTTATTATTTTCTTTAAAAAAACGATTACTTTGTCAATAAACTAAGAACTAGTTCCTTTATCTAAACTTAAAATATAGTAAATGTAAAGCAAAGTACTGTAAAGCTATCAAAATGTGAAGAAAAATCTTAGCTATAACAATTACATTTGAAAACTTACAAGTTTTGCTTTTTTAAATAAAATTACTAGGTTTTGACATGAATTTCAGCTCCAATATTAAAAAAGAAAAAAAAACTTTAAATTGGTTTACTCCTCAATTAAATTTTTCAGCATTTTCTTAATTGAATCATTGATTTTGAAATGAGAAATCAGTAATTTGTGAATATAAATTTACAGATAAAAATGATAATATAATAAAAACATAATTTACGGATAAAATAAAAATTATTTTATAAATTAAAATAAACTTGTAATTTTATGATTAGGTATGCAAAAATACATTAAAATATTTATTGACAGATACCTTTATACTATGCAATACTTGTTTTCAGTATTTATAATTTACAATACTTAGTGATGAAGATTTGTTTGCTGTTTGTAATTATGAATCAATGTATGATTTGTAGAATTGAAAAAAATATGTAATTTGATTAGATGTAAGTAATATATGATTTAATGAAGATATTTTTAAAGTTGTTGAATAATTATAATTATAAAGTCCAACTACACTTCGTTATACAAAAACTGAAGGAAACTATGTTTTAATTTCTTACGAAATTCATTAAAATTACTTTTCCTTCCAATTTTTGCTTTTTAATTTTCACTTATTGATAAATTATTTATCGAATGATATTACTCAGAAATAATACTATTATTTAAACTAGATTGAATAAACCGCTTAAAAATTTAATTTTAATGCATTATATTTGTTTATTAAATTTTTTTTTGCCACTTGGGTTTGATGAAACTCATTTTCAAAAGGACAGTTTTTACCGTGGTTTTTTTTGCACTGTGAAAGGAACTTGCTGTTCCAGAGTTGAATAGATAATATTTTAAGATATAGATGTTTAGATAAAAAAGTTTTTATTTATTTAAACCAACATATTTTTTTTGCCACATATATTTCAATTTCCGATTCTTTTTTTGTTTATAAAAAAAACTATATCATATTAACTGACAGAATTTAAAATTTGAATGCACAAATTTAATAGCGACAGAAAAATAAATAAAAAACTATTATTAAAATGGTACTTCTCAGAAAGTCATGAAATTCAATAAACATAATTATTTATATCTGACAAATCAAACTTATTTTTATTGTTATTATATTTAGAATGATTTTTTGAAGAAAAAAAATTAGCATCTTAACAAGGAATTTTACAACTGTCTGCAAAAAGTTTGCTGTAAATGCAAACTGTGAAAGATTAAAATTAGCATTATAAAATTGTAAATGCTCTCTTGATTAATTTATTAGAAGCATATTTTTGACATAACTGCCAGTTTCAAGATTTTTGGGGAAAGCTAAGAGGAAAAGTATGAAGTTAAAAGAAAATACTTTTTCCTTCAGATTTTTCTAACATACATCATATATCATTTGAACTAATAAATAAGCATACTTAAAAGACCAAGCCCTTCGAACCATCAGAGCTACATCTTAGTGCATAAGAATCTAATCATTCGATAAAAAGTTATAGAGGGTGTAACATTTTGCACACTGTACATTTAAAACTGAATAATTAACTGCAATTGTATAGTATCATATTTTTTTGCTTTAATTCCTACAAACTTTAACAAATTAGTGAATCGTTCTTTCAATAGCAAAATTTGAAATTTACAATTCAACATCTAATATGAAGAATAACCTTCTGCTCTTTAGTTTATTTCAGAAGTTGGACATTCAATTTTTATTTATCTTAACCGCAGCTTTAATACTTCTGGAATAATTGGGAATCTGTTCCATTATTCTTCGGGATTTTTTTTAAACTGTGAGCGTCTAATCTTTAAGCTCTCACAAGAAGTGTAATTACATTAATCGTTTATTGCTAAAACATTTAATACCTTTTAATGTTTGAAAAAAGAGATATTTTTACTCTTTGGCATTTTAATTAAATTAATTTTTTCAATTTTCCACATGCAGATAGTTTTAACAATTTGGAGTTTGAACCACTAGCAACAAAATTCCTCAAAAGTAAAAGAAAAAATAAAGCTGAAATTCTACACAAATAAAGGAGAAATAAATAACACCACAGTAATAAAAATGAATGTTTTGTATGATATATAATTAAAAACCAAACTAATCTTATAAACGTGTATTCTATTCAGAGATGGATTAAAATGAAATAAATAATATTTACAAAACGTATTTATATAGCATTCACTGATCTTTTAGATCCTACAAGAAGTTTAATCATACCAGTTATTAATTGCTGAAATACTAAATTCCTTTTTATGTAAAAAAAAAGAAGAAAAACAAATGTTTTAACTCTCAGGCAATTAAGCCAAAACCCGGTTTTAATAAAAAAAAAACCTTCGCTTAAAACCTGATGAAGGCAAAATTCTTTTCACTTTCTTAGCATTTATTATTTTTTAAATATTTTTTCAAAATGCTAATTTTATTAAAAAATCTTTGTCAGTAAAAGAAAAAAAAAGAATAAGTTGTTTATTGCTTAAACACTGAATAATTTTCTTAAGTAATAAAAAGGAACAACAAAACAATTAACAACCATACTAAAATTTGACACATTAGTTATCCATTAGGATCCTCTTAACTCAGCAGAGTTTTCCAAGGTATAAGTTTTAGCAATACAGAACATATAAAATGTATTTTAAAATTACAAAGAACCTTGCCAGCTAGTATACATTCAGCGACTCGTTTATTGAAGTCACTCGATAAAGCTTTTTCTTTTTTCACACCAGAATTCACAACAATGAACTGCAAATCTTCTGGCAAGTGAATATTTACAGAGCGAAGAGGCTTGAAGGAGATTTTTTTGGCATAACCTGCAACACAAAAATGTTAACATTGAATGAGTGCATTATTTAAGCTAGCAATTTAATAACATATTTTTATTAGGTGATAGCAACAAAAAATATTTTTTATGTAAAATCAGAGATAATATTAACAATATAAGCATTGATATTTTAATATAAAAACGCAAATAACCATTTTTTTTTCAATAAAGAAAGGAACAAATTTCAGTTTCATGTATTCAAAAATAATTTGTCATTTAATATTTTTTTATTTGATGGTTTTAAAATTTTTTTATGCATAACCTTGAATTTCAGCAACATAAAAAAAGAAAGAAGAAAAGGGCAGGTGTTTAAACAGTCCTAACTTAGATGAAATTAATACATTTAACTTTAATCTTTTCCATAAGCTAACATGCTCCAAGGATAACATGTACTCACATCCTAAATCAAAAAGTCCTTTTTTTTAAAAGAAAATTAAAACTTTTTGAAAAATCAATTAAAGAAAAAATGTCTTTTAGCTCGTAAATGATAAGGCATACATACTTTTGATTGACATTTTGTTTATCAAAAGAAAATTAAAAAAAAAATTTAAAATACAAATAAAGATTCATTCTTAAAAAATGCACTATTCTGAGTTTTCCAAATTTACTTTGAGACAAATGAATCATAGAAAATTAAAAGGGTGAATGTAAAGTAACCATATTATGAAAATTAATTGATTAGGACTTTAACTGATGTAGTAGTTAGAAGAAATTTATAGTAAAATCATTTAATTTCTAATGTGTATTACAGAGGAGTAAAATATTTATAATTTCAACAATTATTGACTATAAAATACATTTAATAGAAATTAGGTTCATATGAAGGATATAATCAAGAGGAAGAATTGGTAGTCACAGTTAATTTACTTATCTGGAATTAAATTAAAAAATAGTTATATTAGTAGTTTTTATTTTATTTTCTTAAATAGTTGCAACAGTCACGATTAATGAATGATGCTAAGAACTAAATAAAACCAATGACAGCATGATAAAAAAATATAACTAGTAATGACCACAAGTACAAAATTGGCACAAATCAACAAGCAAAAATTAAAAAAAAAAAAAAAAAAAAAAAAAAAAAAAAAAAAAAAAAAANAAAAAAAAAAAAAAAAAAAAAAAAAAAAAAAAAAAAAACATTTGAACCTTTATCTGCAAGGAAAATAATTGCTTGATCCATACCACCTCCTCGAGTACCAACATATTGTTCAGCATTTGCACACAATTCAGCCAATTCAAACTTTCCTATCCCATGCCTATAAGAATAATTGAATAAGGTTTACGATGTTTAGAAACATTCGTTGTTATCATATTTTGCAAGAACCCAGCGCATTATATAAACAGTTCACTGAATTTTTTTCCATTTACAAGCTAGTTTTCATAAAAACAGTATGAAGTAAACATCAAACTCAAAATAAAGCTTTTAATTAATAAGCTAACTTTTTTCATATTGGATTAATCTTAATGCACTTAATAGCATAAAAATTAAGAATAATTGATATTCTTTAATTCAAAAAATGCCAGTGATGTCTTCAATACTAATAATTTCTTATAAGGAATAAAAGTCAATGTTTCTTATCTATGTAGTAGGTAAAGAAAACAAAGAAAAAATTGTCTGTTTCACGAAGAAATTTGCACACCACTTTAAGGACGTAGAAACATAAAAACAAAACTATAGCTTCGTGACAGAATGACAATGTTTCATTAACTTTACCGTTTCGAATTTATACTGTTGATTAGAAAATAAACCAATAAATAAATAACTAGTTATAAAATAACTATCATAAAAAATCATTATACTAGTCCAGTGTTTTCACTACAGCGCGAGAACGCGAGAATCTCGCATATTTTTTTCTTTTCTCGCATTAAAAAATGATTACCGCGAGAAATTCGCGTGTTCTATAAATCAATTTCAAAATTCGCGAAATTCTCGCATTTTGGAAAAAGTTTCGAATTACGTCATTTAGAATAAAATCCGTTTCACTTTTCTTCCTGGATCTTCATTATTTTCAACACTTGCCCCGTTATCTAGCTTCCCTATTTACCAGTAGGTATTGTTCAGAACCTTTTCGAACAACAGAACACAACCCCTCCGAACCACGGAACCCCTTTCAGAACACATTTCTCTGCAATCACGTGTTTACTCTAGGTATGGTTTTTCATGTAAGACGCTCAAATTTTTTTATGCACTCTAATGTAAGATGGACAAATACCTAGTAAAGGCAAAATCTTCTATGATGATGCAGCAAAAATATTCAATGCTTTAGAAAATAGAAGACGTTAAAAATGTATTATAATAAAAGAAATGATTTTTTTTCCAAGTCTATTTGTATTTTTTCAGTTTTTGGAAATATCACTTAACTTTTTGAAAACTCACCCTGTTTTTAAGAAAAGGGTGAGAAATTCTCACCCATTTTTCTTCTATGATGAAAACACTGTAGTCACTCACAAATAAAGCCACAGTTATTTCTTTGTTTAATTTTTACATTGTAATTTGATATGAAAATTGAGTTTATTATTGACATCTCATTTGTATTAATTATTTAAAGGGGGAAAATGACATACTTTATTTAAGCCTAATTGAAATTTAAGTTTTCTTATGCATTGGCACAATTTTCTCCAATTTTTAACCTTAAGAATGTTAATAACTTTTTCAATTGAATTGATCTATTTCAGTGGAGTCATTTTTGAGGTCTTATACTTATGGGTTTTTGTAAGAAAGTTTTTCTAACAGCTACGATATCCTGGAGCAACCAACCCATTTAAGTCTTTGTAATCCTGTAAATTTGGCTACACCAAGTGACCCATATGCAAGATTACAAAGCAAAATCTTTTATTTTAAAATGCTTACAAGTTCCCTCATTCCATAAAGTAAAGGCTTAAGTCTCTGATACACAACAGTCAGGATAAATCTTCTTTTTTTTTTTTTTTAAATGAAGCAGTTTTTTTTTCTGCCTGATGAACTAAAGTAATAAATGCATATTTAAGAGTTTGAGCAACAATAAAAATATCATTCATGTAAACCAGCATTTAGATTAACAAGGTAAAAATATTTCCTTGCATATTGATCATAAGATCTAACTCGGGTAATTTATTAAATCTACTTTTACTGCAAAAAAAAAAAAAAAAAAAAATTGTTCATTATTATTATAATTCCATTTATTTACTTTTTCGGAAAAGTTCGGCTCTCATTTATGTTACCAGATCAGCTTAAGAGGGAAAAAATATTAGACTATTAAAATACAGGTATTAAACTCAGATATTTTCAATCTTATTAAAAATGTTTGGTGTCTAATGCCAAAAATTACCTTTTGTTTCTTTAATGCACTCAGTAGACGCACCATGGAATATGAACTAGAAATTATTTATTTATATATGCATATTTAAACATTGACAATTTAACAATTTTGACAACTCAGTTTTCATTTGAATTTTGCACACAATAATTTTAGCATTTAATGGTTGGACTGCATTAAAAATGCTATTTACAGTGCATAAGTAGCTTTGTTTCATGACAATCCATTTTGTGACAGAGTTACAGACTGATACTTATCATAACTAAACAATGTAAGAGCAAATTTAATAATGACCAAAAAACAAAACAAATACTAAACATAGCTTACAATTCATGTAGGTGACACTTATAAGCAACAGCCATTGCAGAGGCACAAACCAATGAACTTGAACTGGAAAGACCAGCAGCAGGCGGCAGGTTGCTTGATACAAGCATGTTAAAACTGGGAGCAATTTGAAATTTGTCAGCGAGGCCAAGAATTGCTGCAAAGATGTAGTTGTACCATGACATGCCCTTACTCATTTCTTTCTGAATTTCATCAAAGGCAATTGAGATGGAAGGATACTTTTCATCGACATTTTGAATATTAATTTGCTTTTCCTTATTATCACCAACAGCTATTAATATACTTTGTTCTATAGCAATAGGAAGAACTTGAAAGTCATTATAATCTATATGCTCTCCAATTAGATTAACCCTTCCTGGACTCCTTACAAAAAAAGAAGGCGTGGATTTAAATGTTTCTTCAAAAGAGCTTTGAAGAGCTTGAATTCTCTTTTTATCATTGGTTACACTTATGGCCTCTACTGGAAAAGAATTCATTTTTCTATAAAAAAAGAAATGAAAGAGAATTAGAGGATGACACCACACACAAAAGAATTTTTGAAATTCAATATCAAAAATTTATTATTATATTCGCAAAACAATTTCCACAGTTTAAATACCTTTACCTTGTCTATAATGTACCTTTTAAAAATAAATTTGAAATGTTTTGATAAAAAAAAATTATTTTATCACACCAAAAACAGATTTTTCAATAAAAAATAAGCACCTTTTAAGTATTTTTTAAACACTCAAAAAATTTATTTAAAAACTTTCCAAAAAAAATTATAATTAGGATTTGTGCAGTATTAAAAATTAATTTTTTCTATCATTTAAAATTCCTAAATTATAAACATAAAATAAAATAAATTTTAAAAAATATACATAATTATGATAAAATAGCTAGTTTCCGATAAATATTGCAGAGAAAATTGTGAAAATCATGAATTTTTTGCAATTTAGAATGATAATCGATACAGCAGAGAAAAAATCTATTTTTAAAAGATAGAAAATTAAGCACTTCTTACAAGAAAGCTTGCGCATTCTATTATTAATTTTTTTTATCATTTAAAATTCCTAAATTATAAACATAAAATAAAATAAATTTTAAAAAATATACATAATTATGATAAAATAGCTAGTTTCCGATAAATATTGCAGAGAAAATTGTGAAAATCATGAATTTTTTGCAATTTAGAATGATAATCGATACAGCANGAGAAACTTCAGAGGGAGGAAAAGGGACTTCAACAATTTCCCTCCGCGGAAAATTAAATTCCTCATAAAACATTTTAACTTGGGCAAAAAAAAATTTTAGCGGAAATTAGCGGGAAAAATGGAAAAATCTGAAAAAAAGCGGAAATCCGCGAAAGAATCTCATCCCTGATGATAAAATAGCTAGTTTCTGATAAATATTGCAGAGAAAATTGTGAAAATCATGAATTTTTTGCAATTTAGAATGATAATCGATACAGCAGAGAAAAAATCTATTTTTAAAAGATAGAAAATTAAGCACTTCTTACAAACCTCGAATAAAAAAAGTACCTCTAAGGGCTTTTAAAAAACGCAAATCAAAAGAGAACACCTTTAAGCACTTTTTAAAAATGCTAAGCACCCTGTAAAAAATATATTGAAAATTGTTGCTTTATATTTAGTAGTATTTAATTTCCTGAAATTATTTCAACAATAATTTTTTTAATACATTGAAATTTACAATCATTAGATAAGAAAATTAAAATAACACTCCAGTTTTAAATATTTAAAGCATATAGTGTATTTTACAGAAAAATGTCTAACACAATGTTCCCTCTGCAACAGCAAAATTTTGATATTTCCTATTTGAAGCTTGAAAAAAAAAATACATTTAATAAATTTCTTAAGATATTAAAATAACTGTAGTTTCTTTCAATACTTTACTTAAAGTCAAATAATAACACAGAATTCCACAAAAATATCATAATCAAATATGTTGCACACAAGTAAAAGTCAAATTTATTTACAGATTAAGTAAATAAAGCTAAAAAGCTAGTACGGCTTTGTTAAACTCGAAAAAAATTTGTTGCTTCAAAACTTTATTTCTAATATTGTACAACTTAAATCAAAACAATTTAAATACATTTGAATAAAAAAGAATATAAAATAAATTACAATGTAGCATAATCAAATATCATAGCTGATTTAAAAGCTTGATAATCTTTTTCTTGATTGTTTCTATTTTCATTTTATATGCAATAGTACAAAAATCAAAACTATGTAATAAACCCCATATAATATAGTAAAAAGCATAGCTCGATTATACTAGTACAGTGAGTAGGTATACTTGTGATGCAGCTAAAGTTACTATTGAATACAGTAATAAATATGGTTTAAAATTCTAGTGCACTAAATCTGGCAGCGATTTTTACTTATTTTCTCAACTTTTTTTACATAAAAATTAAATAGTCATATTGTGCATAGTTTTTCATTATTAAATCTTACTACAAGGAGTAAATCAAGCCTCTCATTTTTATTATAACTTGTGGGTGGAGAAGACAAACTAAGTTAATTATTTCCAGATTAAGACATGAAAGATGAAGACATGAAAGATAATGTCAAACAAAATTAAAAGAATTAAAAACGAGATTAAGAATGTAATTCTAATATATTTATAAATGTAATTGATACAGACAATACTAACCACAATAATTTCATAGATTTGTGAAGTAAAATTCTGCACTAATTTTAAATATAAACACCAATTTTACAATAAACGATTTATCTATGCCGAAAAACGATCATAATACTTCAAGGTTAATTCTTGTGTTAGACAGGGTTGTATACTTTCTCCAACAATCTTTTCAATTGCTATTGGCTGGATTATGAAAAAGTATCAAAGAATAAAATGAGTACAAGATGGAACCTTGCTGAATACCTCTCTAATCTTGATTTTGCAAACGACTTATGTTTACTACCAATACCCTTCAAAACATGCAAACATTTTAAACATTGAGATAAAGAAAATGGGGCTTATTATCAACCAAAATAAAACTAAAATTTTGAAAATTAATCTTAAACAATTAAATGACATATTTTAAAAAAATAATAAACTGGCGGAGGTAAGCAGTTCTAGGTATCTTGGAAGTATAATATTAACAACTGAGGAGGAACTAATGAAGACATGCTAAATAGATTAAACAAAAGCCCGAAGCAGTTACGCTATTCTCAATAAATTCTGGAAAAACAAAAACATAACAAATTTAATAAAAATTAGAATTTTCAATACTAATGATAAATCTGTCCTACTATATGGATCTCAGACATGGCACAGCAATAAAAATATCGTGGAAAAACTTCAAGTCTAACTGTTTAAGAAGAAACTCTCGTATCAACGGGTTTCATAAAATTTGTAATGCAGAAATACTTAGAAGAGCAAAACAGAAATCACTTGATCTGGAAATTAGAAAGCATTAATGGAAATTGATTTGTCATGTTCTACGTAAACCTGAAAAATTTAAAGCAAAACAAGTTCTTGATTCAAACTCCTAGGGAAATAGAAAACAATAAGAAAGACATGGAGAGAAGCAAAAAATCTGGTCACAAATAGGGTAAGATGGAAAGCAATGATAGAAGTCACATACTCCAATTCGGAGAGAAAAGGTATATGTATGCAGGTATGTTACTTTAAAAAATATCTTGTACAAAATCACTAATTAATTCATATATTGATAAATGTATACATTTTAAAATATGTGAAGAGCTAAAAATTCAAGATGATAGAACTGTATCTTGAAATTAAATCAAAATAACACCAAAAAGCACTGGAACTAGAGCTATTACTATTTGAAGCATTTAATTTCACGGCATTTCGTGATACTTCATTCAGCATTTTTTCAGCTGTTTTCATGTGGTTTTCAAATTAAGATATATAGGATATTGTAAAGACAAGTGACTGTTGACATATTCAATTCATAAAAATTCCAACACAATTTCAGGTTGTTTGATAATTGTTATTTCTGAAGACATTTTTCATCTTTTAGCACTTTTTACATGATTTTCCAAATTTCAATGTGTTTAATATGATGTTATTACTACATTCGAAATTTGAATTTGAGTTTTTGAACTCTATTTTTTTAGATGTTTAATTTCATAACTTTGTGACAATTTAATAGAATAATAAATTTGTTACTTTATCGTAACTTCAGGTTATTGGATTTCATCGTAATTTCAGGTTATTGCATGATAGTTTTTTTAAAAAGTTATATATCATTTTCTTGGTCCTTTCACTTGGTTATCCAAATTCCAAAATTTTTAATATTATGTTGTTACAACGAGTGAAATTCGAATTAGAGGTATCACAATATTCTATGTTTAATTGATGATGATTCCATCATAGCTACATGTTGTTAGGTCATAGTTTTTAAGGAAGCTACTTATCATTTTTGATCCTTGGTCTTTCAAATTCCGATATTTTTAATACAATGTTGTTACGATATGCGAATTTAAAATTTGCGTCATAACATTTTAACCTGTTTAATTTCATATGATTCCATCACAATTTCTTGTCGTTTGATGATGGGTTTATTTGGCAGTAATTTATCATTTTATCAGTCCCTTCCCACAGAATTTTTCAAATTCCCATATTCTTAATCAGATGTTATTATGACATTCCTGATTTCAACATAATATGTCGCCCAATGATATTGGGTCTTTCAGAAAGTTTGTTTGATTCTATAATGCTACATAATGTGTGTATAGGCAGAATATATAATAAAAGAAATCTTCTAAAAATTCCTACGTACAGCTTTCCAGAGATTTAATAACCTGTTAAGTTCTTCAAAAGTTCATTGATATATAAAAATTACAGTATGAGAAAAGTAGTTAGATAATATATTGCTATTAAAGTGATACTTATTATATTTAGCCTGAAAAGGAAAAAACTTATTTTAATAACAAAGAAATGTTTCTCTATTCTCGATTTATGTTACAGAACAATTTTCAAGCCATAAAAACATATGATTAAATGCACAATGTTTAATAATCAAATAATGTAAAGATATTTCAAGAACAATATAATTATTCCATAAAACTTCATAAATAAAAAAAATATGCAAAAACTTGTCAATTATTATGTATTATGGTTTTTAAGGGAAAAATTCTCCACAAATTTCTGATGTTCATAAACAAATGGTGCAATTTTTAAAGAAAATAAATAAATTTAAAAAAAATAATAAAAAAACATGATGTTTAAAAGCAGACACAGACGATACGTCACAATGGCTCACATGAAAAACTGTAAGCTTATTGAAAATCAAATAAATGGTGTTTTCTAGAAATTCTCTTATTTTAAGTGTAAAGCAAATGATATAAAATATATTTATAAATTTATCATATATTTAAAACTTTAAAATTAATAGCTTACCTTTGCTGATTTTTATTGCTTTCTGTAAGCTGTCAAGTTCTGTTCATTCATTAAGCTCACCAATGTCCTTCATGCAAGTTTTCATACAAGTAACAAGAATGTTGAAAACTGTTATTCAATCTAAAATTGAGAAACATAATAAGATTAAATAAAAAAAAATTAAAATACTTGGAACATGCTTCAGTTTTATTATACTTATATTAATTTTTTTTTTTAAATATATTTGAATTCCTGCATTTCCTGGTTAGCCAGAATTGCAAAGATTAAAATAAAAACAAATTGCAAAAATTAATAAAAACAAATAAATTTCAGGCTAATAGGACAAAATTGTAGGAGATAAAGTTAAATGATAAAAAAGGCACTAAAATGACTATGTAGAGTAAATAAATTTGCTAATATAAATAAAGAAGATCGACTTATTGGCACCCTACCTGGTTATTACTAGAAAGTGGCAAAATAGAAACTAAAAAAAAAATCCCAAAATGGGACAAACTCTAAAGGCAAAACTTGTAATCATCATTGGGCAAGTTAATAACATTTATCATTAATTAATTCCAAGTAAAAAACCTAGGCAATTTCATTTCTTGCTTGAAAAATTTCAATAAAAGGAAACAGGTTTCTAATAAGGAAATATTTTTATTGACTTTAATGAAAGAGAATATTTTAGCATCAATACCCGTCAGGGCTAACTACAATCGCCTTGATGTCAAAGGTTTCTAGTAATTGGAAAAAAATAATGGCTGGCCTGATTACAAGTTATACTACAGTGGAAACAAAGAAAAAAATTCTGTGACTTTTACAGATTAATAATATCAAATTTTCTTGATTTTTAAAATCCGTAACATAAATTTCATAATCATTTTTTTCAGTTATAATGTATCTTTATAACTAAAATATATTACAAAACACTTATACTTTCTACTTGCAAATAAAATTGCATAAATCTTAGAACCTCATTACAAGTCAATTTCTTAAAGAAATAATCGGGAACTTTAATGTACCTTAAAGTTAAATTCTTTTTCTCTGATGTTTTAATTATTTTAATTAAATTCCCTGATTTTTCCAATTCTATAAAATTCCCTACCTTTTTCGTACATTCCTTTTTTTGTTTCCTTTTTCGTACATTCCTTTTTTTGGGGGGGCACTGGTACCAATATAAGTATTTATAAATACATCTGTGTATAAGTATTTAAATAAAAAGTTAGAGAAAAGTAAAATATTTCCTAGAAGTTTTTAATGTATCCTTTGTTATTTATTTTTAAAAAAAACTTTAAACTGAAAATATGGATACAAATAATATTTATGTATGTTTATATATCACAAGATTCGTAGTGAAATGATCGTAGAGAGAAAAATAGTATTAAAATGATATTAAAACAAAAACATGATATTTTACTAGCGAATCTTAAGGTTAGAAAATAATTTATAAATAGAGAAAGTTTTATATATTTTGATAGCCTAAGCAATAACCTGTACTTGAAGTAAATTTTTACGTGCTTATCACTACACTGATCAAAACAAATATACTTCACCGGTAAATGGAAATATTGTTTCAATTTGTTACACCAATTATATTGTAAAATATTATATAGAAAATAATTAAACATTAGATAATTTAGAATGCAAAAGTAATTTCTATCAATTAATTTAGAATAAAAAACAACAAACCAGACAAAAAGTGCTGAAGCATTCCACAACGGCAAAATTTAAAGTCGTTTGTTTATCTCTTGGCTTATCTTGAGCACAAGAAGGTGAATCATGAGTGCTTATTTTTGTCTATTCAAAGCACAAAAAAGCTTATCAACTTTAAAAAGAAAAATAGGAAAAAGTATATACTTCAACTTTTACTCATAACTGAACTTGGAATTACAGCCTACTAAATGGACTGTTGAACATGTAAAGCTAAACGCAGATGGCTCTACGGGTTTAAATTCGTCGTAAGACTCCCGGGCTACTACTTCCGATTGATTTTTATGCCTAAACGTGAAAAAGATCGCCATCAAATATTATTATACTTGTAGTGTTTACAATCACGTTTTATTAATTTAAATTTTGAAAGAATATTGAAGACTCCGTAGGCATGCTATGCTCTGCAAGATGCTACCTAAAAAATAACCAACGATGATATTTTACACAAATATGGCCATATAAAGAATACCACTCAAAATATGGTAAAGATTACACATTATTAATGTTGTGATATTAATTTTCTGAAATTTATTCCAGGCTCACAACAAGTTAGAATTTATTAATGACAGAAACCTCTTATAAATTTTAAAATAACGCACAAATTTAAACATAAATGACATTAATAAAATTTTTCTTTTAAAATATAGATATTAAAATTTTAACTCTAAAAGATGCAGAGACAATTTTATATCTGTCTTTGATTTTAGTATTAGTTTTTTGTACATAACACAGGAATTAAAAACTATTACTATATTGGCAATAATTAAAAACTTTCATGCAGCAATGCTCGCGCGATGGTCATTGGGCTACCGAAGCGGGGGTGCCCTTCCCTCTGCAGAGGATCAAAATTGTGATGGCATGTCTTCGGATCATCCTCAGGGATGTTTCCCAGACCATGGCCAATAGCCCATTGTGCCGCTCTAGTGCGACGTAAATGAACTACAAGTACAACAACTTCATGGAACAATGACGGATTTTGTAATGTATTCATGGCACATCGTAAAACAATGACGAGTCTGAGTTTTGAGGTTTTATTTTCTTTAGAAAAAATTTAAAAAAAATATATATGGCAAAATTTCTCAATTATAAGTGTTTTCTGTTAAGAGCCAAGGTAATGATAGTTTTACATTCTTTAAAAATATACAAAATCAATTTTTCTGTTTCTCAGAGTATTATAAACAGTAATTAGGAAACATTTTGGATGTATTATTTTTTTGGAATTTTTATTCCTGGAGTTTTTTAATATTTAGCTTTTATTAATATTTTCGCTTTTTTTAATATTATATATCGCTTTTTTCAATATTTAATAATTGCTCTTATAGGAATTAGGTTTCTAATCAACATCATGTATAGCTGCGATTGAAAAATAGTACAAAACCTAATATAATCCTAACTATCACAGAATATATCTTCAATAAGGGAAGAGTATAGATAAAATAAGTATAGGCTTGTAGTTAGTATTATGATCGTTTTTCCCTCAGACCTTAAATGCATAAAAATTTATTGACAAGTTCATTTTTAACTATTATCTGGAAAATTGTGGGAAAATCAGATCCACCATAATGTTCAGTGTTCAAAATAAATAACGGACCACCCTGATTAACTTTTTGATCATATCAACGGATCTTCACTTTCAAGAACTCAATCTTAATAGTTCAAGAGGATGACTTCAAATATGATAATGGACGATATTTCAAGTTATAAATTGAGGAACGAAAATGTACTTTATCTGGATAAACAAACCTTATTTTTGGCGGATTCAATTCACTAAACCCCCAATATATAGGGGTTCGCCGCTGTCTGGGAATAGTTGTTTCCAATATTTTGGTCAGGAGAACGGTCCAAAGTTTGGATCCCTTAATATTAATTTTACTTTACGCGTATTTTGCCCATTTCTAGAACTCTAAACGAGTGGAAGATTTTTTCCCGCTTAAATATGAAATTCATTTGTCTAAACATAATTAATCCCATGCTTAAAATAACTTTCAGCACAAATATTTTTATAACTTTATTTATTTACAGTCGAAAAATTTTTAAATGGTAAAGGAGATAGTTTTTTGCATAATTTTAACGAATGTAATTTCACACTGGTGAAATAAATTAAGAGAATTTGCATATTCTATGGAATTTCATGAGAAGAACTCAACTGAATATAAATTCCCTGCTTCTAGACAAAAATGCAAATCCTGTGCATCAAATAAGGAAGGGTACACGTGTGTGTATTCGGAGCCAGTAGAGAAACTTGCTTTATAAGTGCGCGTAAGTTAAGACGCATTTCGTTCGCTGGCACACCTCGGCAAATTTCTTGGTGTCATTTTGCAGTAAAGGGTTAAATTCAAATTGTAAAAATTAAAATGAGTAACCACTAACGTTTAGATGGTGGAATGAGGTGGCGAATTGTGGGAAGGTTAGAAGCAGACCAATTTCAGATCTAGATTTGTAGAGAGTTCAATTTAACGCCCAGCGTCGCGGGTAACTTATGGAAACAGTTCCAGGATACCGGATCTATCGAGAGTGATCTCTCTCGTGACTTGCATGCAGTCACATGAACTCGTGTATCAAGGATGACTGTTTCTAAGCGACTTCATGAAAGAGGGTTGTTTGCAAGAAGACCTGCTGTTTGCATCCCGCTCACCTCTACAAACAGAAGAGTCCGTTCATTATGGTGCAGAGAGCATAGAGATTAGAGTATTGATCAACGGGCTACCGTTCTCTTCACGGATGAGTCCCGGTTATCACCGATTTTCGCAGTACGTTCATATGGGGAGAACCAGGGACCAGCTACCGACCCTCCAATGTCAGCGAAGCCTATCATTATGCCGGAGCAGGTTTAATGGTCTGGGCAGGCATCATGTTGGATGGCCGCACACCTCTTCATGTTTCTGAAAGAGGCGTTGTGACTGGTGTGAGGTATAGGGAGTAAGTTTTGGAGCCCTATGTTCGCTTTTTCAGGGGTGCAGTTGGCCCTGAGTTCATTTTAATGGACAATAACGCAACGCCACATAGAGCTCTTCTGGTCGACGAATTTCTAGAGAGTGATGATATTTGCCGAATGGATAGGTCGGCCAGATCTCCAGACCTCAACAATATAGAGCATATCTGGGACACTCTGGGTAGGGCAGTTTCAACTGGCTACGTCCCTCCGAGAATCATCCAGGGAATGAAAACGGAGTTGCTGAACGAGTGGTACCGGTTGAAACAGGAAATGATAAACTGCCTTATTTTAAGCATGAAATCACGCTGCAAGACCTGTATGTCTGTATGAGGGGCCATACAGATATTAAACCATTTTATAATTATTTTTTTTGTTTATTCTGCAACCGCTGTTTCATGGCTCCCGACTCCAACGAGTGTTACGCACTATCATGCGTGTGTATTACAATCACACGCATGGTTATTTGTTTTGTATTGTATCAATGTATGTACACGTCGAATTTCACTAAAATTGGTCCCAGAAGTTATAATCGACCAGGTCTGCAGATTTTCTTAATATTTTACACCAGTGTACATGGCAAAATACAAAATTTCTGCGAAATCAGTCAAATAATTTCCGAGATATCAAATTTAAAAAATATGAATTTATTTAGAATTAAATTTCTCAGGAACAAATCAACCGATTTCACTCAAATTTTGTAATTTGCAATCTTAAATTGCATTCTTAAAATTACATGAAATTTTGTTAACCTGACACTTCAAAATTGTTTTGACTGTTATTAAATAACGTGATAAAAAATAATAAATATTTACTAGAGGTCATTTTTTGCACAGACTCATCTTCGGATAAACAAATTTTATAATTGTTTGCAAATTACTTTTTAATTCGTTTGAAACGTTTTCCAGATTTTTCGAAATACGCAAAAAGTTAAATTAACATTAAGAGGTCATAACTTTCCATTGATCTCTTGACTAAATTATGTTGTGTTTGATTTCGTAACTTAAAATATCGTCTACTTTTATTAATAAGCATATTTGAAGTCATCCCCTCAAGCCTTAAAAATTGAGTCCTAGAATGTGCAGATCTATTGATTAGATATCCTATGAATAGCTTTTGATATCAAAAGTTATTCAGTGTGGTCCTTTTTTGCGCATTGCACTTTTTTATAATTTTAAACAGTGTAATTCTTTAATATGAGATTCCCTTAAAGTCTAAAAGAATAGCATTTTCACTATGTTTAATAATGGGGAATTTAATTTAATTTTTTCAAGCATTTAGAGCAATATTTTCCTCCAAGTCTAGTGCTAGTTTTTCAAAATCAAATAATACAGTTTAGAATACATTTAACTGAAACACACCGAAAATTCGTCAGTAATGAAAAAAGGATATATTTGGTATAAATGGAACTCATTGGTTAAAAGCTAAAAGAATAATTAACATCAGTATTCCATCAAATTATGCTTAGAAATTTATACTTGGAACAAATCAAAATATAAATTTATAGTTCCAAACAAGCTGGAAGTTGTTCAACGCTACAGGACAAAAATAAGTTAAGATGATACTAAAAACTTTCGACACAAAATTTAATTGTTTTTAAGAAATATTACACTATGCATGTTAATCGAAAATACTTGTAATTTATTAAATTATATCGAGCATAAATTAAACTAAATAACTAGTGACCACTATTGTAAACTAATACTGAAATCATTAAGTATTAATCGATATAATTCTTCAAAAATCTTAGAATGATTTGAAAATACCACTTACATAACAGCGCTTAACATAAAATTATTTCGTTTGTTGAAACGCTATCCAAACTAGCAATCTATTTAAACTATTTATTGATGAACAATCTAAAGTTATAAATTTTTTATTAAATGAAAAAAACAATTTTTTTGTTGGTTTTTTTAAAAATAAGAAGTACATTTCAAAATAGCTCTTAAATTTTGAAAAATTATTGAGGGAGAAGGTTCCTCATATGACCCCTAACCCCCCAAAGATACGCTTATGCTCCTCCAGTGTGAGTCAAGAAACTTCTAGATTCAGTTTTTAACATGTAATGTGTACATTACGGGCTTGTCAACTGATTTTTTTTATTTAAGAATCGCAGTCAATTAATTTTTCAACCTTTTCAGTCTACAAAAATGCTTTTAAAACTTTTCATCTTTATTCTTTTTGTAACATTGCTTTTGATATTTA